TTTTTTTCTCCAAATGATTTTGAGTTTTGTTCCACATTGTTCTCCCTCTTTATCAAGGATCTCCTACATAGATCGCCTTCCAAGTGGATGACAGTGGTAGCCAGGCACCATCTGGTTCTTCTGGGCTCATAGTTGTATAGGCTGCAGATGGGATGGTGTACCAGTCGCTTGGACTAATTGTAATATTTGTCTTTCTATGATTGTCTTATTTCACTCAGCATAATGCCTTAAAAGTTCATCCATGTTACACAGAAGTATTTTGCAGATTCTACATTATTCTTTAGGGTTGCATAGTATTCCATTGTTTGTAAATAGTGGTGTGATGAACATGGGTGTGCATGTATCTGTTCTTGTGCTGGCTCTTACTTCTTTAGGAAATATACCTAGTAATGAAATTGCTGAATCAAATGGTATTTCTAATTGCATCTTTTAAAGAAATAGCCATACTGCTTTCCACAGTGGTTGTATCATTTGACAGTCCTATCAGCAGTGTATGAGAGTCTTGAGGGTGATTTTTAACTGACTTATATTTTCTAGCAGTAGTTATAAAAGAGCTGGGTGAAGGGAGGGAAGTGGTGGAAAATTCTCTGTTATTGTTGTTGTTAGGTGCTGTCAAGTCATCTCCGACTCATAGAGACTGTATGTACAGCAGAACAAAACACTGCTGGGTCCTGTGCCAGCCCCGTGATCCTTGCTATACCTGAGCCTATTGTTGTCGCCACTGTGTCAATCCATCTTGTTGAGGGCCTTCCCCTTTTTCATTGACCCTCTACTTTACCAAGCATGATATCCTTCTCAAGGGAATGGTCCCTTCTTACAACATGACCAAAGTAGATGAGATGAAGTCTGGCCATTCTCATCTCCAAGGAGCATTCTGGCTGCACCTCTTCCAGAACAGATTTGTTAGTTCTTTTAGCAGTCCATGGTACTTTCAGTATTCTTCGCCAACATGACAACTCAAAAGCATCAGCTCTTCTTTGGTCTTCCTTATTCATTGTCCAGCTCTCACATTCATATGAGGTGATTGAGAACACCATGGCTTATCTCATTAAAAAAAGATCAATCATTCCTTTCCAATTCCTTGTTTGTGACTAGAAGACTGGACTACAAATCACTGTCCCTTCCCTAATCTATAGCTGTAGATCTTTAGAAAGAAAAGTAGGTGAAAGATTACTAACTAAAAATAAGTCAGGTTTTATGAAGTATTGGGGAAAACAACAGAGATGCAATCTGAACCAAACCCACTGCCAGTGAGTTGATTCTGAGTCATAATGACCCTCTAGGGCAGAGTAGAATTGTACAGAAGTAGATTGCTTAATTTACTCCCACAGAGTGGCTGGTAGGTTTGAACCACCAATCTTTTGGTTAGCAGCAGAATGCCTTAACCACTGCACCACTAGAGCTTCTTCGAGATGCAAATGGTAGAGAATGAATCTTGAGTCTTCAGGCTACAAATGCTTTTGTTAGAGTAGGTGTTAAAGGGTGGTAGTAGTAGTAGTAGTAGTAATATAGTAGTATCAGAACCTATCTAACTTCAGGGGAGATAATGACAAGGATCAGCCTAAAGCTGATTCCCATGAGATGGAGGTTAGACGTATCTCCATTCTCCAAGCTTTTTACCAATTCTGACACCAGCCATCCCTTCCATGGCATTCTCTACTTATTTCGTGGTTCAATAATCCGTTTTAATGGCCACCCAGAACTTACAGGTCATACTTACAGGTAAGTGGTTTAACAGTACAACCCAGGATTGGGAAACAACAAGGCAAAGTCTCCCTTCAGTGGCTGACAGCTCTCTCATATCCTCTTGGTTGTGCAGGCCTCCTCTCAGCCCCCTCAGAATAGGCTCCTCTTGGCCCTGCTGTCTGTCACCACTGACTCTGCTGCTGGGCCCCTTCTGGGCCTCTCTCACTGTCTTCGGTGTTATAGTCCTTGACCTATGTTAACAGTTTTTCTAGGGGGTTCCTTGCCTCTTCTCTCCACTTCTTCTCTCTTCCTGCTTCTTTCTGTCTGCCAAACCTCTGTGGGGT